ATCAAGCTCCGGCAACCTTGGCAACTGCGCATCTCGCTTCCGCCACAAGGGCGGTCACAAAGAGGCGATTTCCTGTTCAGTCGGGGTGCGGTTGGGGTTGTGAGCTGTTAGGATTTGAGACTTTCCTGGCCCACCAGACTACTACATCAGTCACCAATATACAAAGACAGCGAACACTCAGCAACCTTCTGAAGGATATGCATCCACGATCCTCCACGTTTGGGATCCGAGTCCATCTCCATGAAGTCGTGTAGTACATTGTAGTGCGAATCATTACGAACCCCCTTCATCTGAAGAGCCATTTGCGCGGAAGCCCATATGTTCATGACATCCTCTTATAGTTCTAGCCCTATCTCACCTGTCGCCTTTCTTCATTTCTATCTATAATGATATCCCTAAACCCTAAACCCTAAACCGAAAGCCTCTTTCTTCGTTGCGTTTGGTCAACTGCAGCCCGGCTGGCTAAGCAACTAGGGCAGGTCGGGGAGCCAGCAGCCACCGAAACGGTGTTTGGCAGTGCGAAGAAGGGTTTTAGGGAGTTTAAAGTTGAGGGTTCCCTGCGAGTTTTGAGAGCATTTTTAGATTTTTCGTGCGGTAATAAAGCAACGGGCAGGGGGGGGGGTGCTATTTTCTGAATTCTGGCGTTGAGGGTTTCGGCCTAAGACCTGCACAGCTAAACCTTTACTGCATAAGTCCGTTAACTTTTTATCGTGTGAGCGCCGAAACTTGTTTTGGTTCAGCCGGTAAGCCTGTCGGAAAGATCTGCTCAGCACCCAACCCGCAGCCTCCCTATTCAAAGAAGCGTCTTGAATTGATTACTATTGGGGGCTCCTTATTATAATTATGGTCTAGTACATACCCCCAAAACCCTAGTCTAATTATTCAGGCCTCTACATGAAACCCCTAAACCCTAAACCCCTAAACCCCTAAACCCTTAACCTTATAGTAGCCCTTATAGAACCCTTTAAGGAACCCCCAAAACCCTATGTTTTTCAGGACAAACCCCCAGCCCGAACAGCCGGAGCTGGCTTCCCGATCGCTGCTTTTCATCTCGGGCTGCCGGCCCAGAGAGTCGGAAAATCCCCGGCGGGCACGCCGGTGGTTTAATCTGAGGGCCTTAGTAGATAGAATAGGGTTCAAGGCTTTAATATAGGGGCCTTCATAGTTAGAATGGGATTCCCTTAAAGGGTTATGATAAGAGTCCTTCGTAGTTAGAATAGGGTTACTATAAGTGAGGAAATCCAGGTCGGCATCA